GACCTCCCCGCCGTGCGCGAGGCAGGGGGCGCCGGCGGGGAGGCGATGCGTGAGTTCGCGGCGCGCCACGCCCGCGCGCTTGAGCAGCTCTACGATCTCTCCTTCCTGCCGAAGGGCTTCGGGCCGCAGGCGATGGAGCGCGCCGACTCGACGCGCCGCAGTGCCCGCAAGGGGGCGCCACCGCCGGCGGCGAAACTCGTGGAGACGCAGACGGACGCGGAGCGGCAGTACGTGCAGAGCCACTACCCCGCGGAGGACCTGTACGCGGCGCGGCGCGACTACCGGCCCGCCGGCGACCAGCAGTTCCACCTGGCGGTGTCCGAGGGCGACGTCGTTGGCGTCGTCGTGCGCAAGGACCCGATGGGCAACGACGCAGACTGGTTCGTCGACGCCGGAGGCGCGAAGGGACTCCTCCCGCACGCCCTCCTCACCGCGCTCACGGAGATCCTCCGCGGAGCCGCCGTCGCAGCGCCACCTAGCTACGACGACGTGCTGGAAGCGGACGCGGCTGTCGCGCCGCCGCCCGCGTACGAATCACCCGACGACGGCGGCGCCCCCCGGGGGAAGGCGGCGGAGGCGGTGGACGACGGGCGGGAAGAGGAGTGGGAGGAGCAGGCGTTCTGCTACGCACTGTACGGGTTTGAGGCGATGGGGGAGGACCAGTTAAGCATGACGAAGCGGCAGGTGCTGAGCATCGTACGGCGCGCGGACGAGGACGGCAACACTGAGTGGTGGCGGCTGCGCAGCCAGGACGGAGACGAGGGATTCGTACCGGCTAACTACGTCTGCGAGTACGACCCCGCGAGCGTGTGATGACCTCCACGTGACCCCGCGAGCGTGTGATGACCTCCACGTGACCCCGCGAGCGTGTGATGACCTCCACGTGACCTCGCAAGCGTTTGATGACCCCGTGTGACCCCACGCCTCAGCGAGCGTGTGACCTCATGACCCCACGAGTCTGACCTCGTTACACTACAACGTCACGATCCCCACGTGCATGTGTGCCAGGGCATCCTTGCGGAGGAAGCACGGCAGAGATGGTCGGGAAGACAGGGAAGAATGGGGAAGAAGCAGGAAAGCTGAGCGCGTACGTGGTTTGTGATGTGTAGGCAGTCTGACAGTGGTTTTGATTTTCCTCAGTTTTATTTAAAGGTTTTGCAGGATTGTTGAATATAGGAAGAGACATTCGCCTTGTATCAATTGTTGTCTCGCTGCCAAAAATACTCTATGCCTTGTATATGTATATATAATCATATATGCATTATATATCATATATGCATATATGCAATGATCATCTATAATTATATATAATTATCAGTATTTTACGTATTATTGTATTGTTACCATATACCTAGTATAGCACTAGAATGACTAGATGCTCGCATGTCCAATAGCAGACTGGCATGAGGCTTCAACTATATGAGACGTATATTCAGACTTCGTATATTGCTCTCAATGTAGTCTTGGCAATATTTGTCGGATAATTAGGACCTCTTGCGATGCACGCAGTTTAATTACGATGGCTGATTTTGTGCCACAATAGACGGCATAACTCGTATGACTGTTTTGGTCTTCCCTTTCTTGCAAAAGACGCATCCACCGTGTTTTTACTCTTGTTATGCTGTGAATTGGTGGAAAGTCAATATATCTAGTGTTATAAAGAGCTAATATTACATGTGTTGTCAGTTCTTGGTGTTATACACCAGACGCTGTCTCCTGGCAAGGGTGTATGCAAGCAACACACACAAATGGGTTGCATTCTTTGGGGGGAAAGAGAGAATTTATTTGCATGTTTGTGTACTTTGCGCGTGTGTGAGTCAGCTCAATATACTGCAGCTGTATTATTCGTGCATGTTTGTGTGACGTGATGCAACAGCATACTGTGATATAATTGCAACAGTGGGAAATCATATTGACAATCGTCTTTCTCTGGCTCTCAATTCTCAAATGCATTGTATAGTTTTGTATGTGTGATTTCAACGTGATCAAACGCCTTGCATCATCTGCATAATTTCTTCCTTCCGCGAGACATTGCCAGATTGTTGTATTTGTTAAGATTCTTTCTCAGCAAGTCTTGTCTTAACAAGACAAATTGTTGTCTCTGCTAGAATTCTTTCTGTAAAATGCTATGCTGAATTCATGTTCATGAAACTGTACTTCCTGATATGTAGTCGGGTCGAAGCTAAATCTAATTTGTTTATTACCATAGATCATATTGGTGTGCAGTCTTTGTATAATAAATGGCAAAGTAAATAAGGATATAGGAAAAATCATAAGGCGAAATAGAGGTGCAATAATTCTTAAATCAAATAACCTAACTGCCGTGCTAAGCATATATGGTAATTATCCCAAACTCGACCCAAATCTTTTACTGTATATATAGCCAGTGTGCTTGCATTTGGTACCTTGAACCTCTTGCATCGGTGTCGATTTGCTGTGGTGATGAGGTTGTTATTTTACATAGTTTCCACATATGGAAAAAAACGAGTTGATGAGCTGCAGTGGGTGTGTTTAGAGATTTTAGGTAGAAACGTTAATCATGCGGATAAACACTTGCAAATAATTCCGTGAATAGACTCATTGATCAATTTTTAGCTCATCTGACATATCAGAGTTTATCAGAAGAATAGCCGGCTACAGTACACGTCAGTTGAGCGCTGTCGCTCTGCGGCACTTGTCGTTTGATATTATTACGGCTTTTAACTTTAATATTATAATTAATATAATTATAATGATTTAATTGTGTGTAACAATGAGAGGTCAGTTGAATCACTCATAATAAATGAGCCTCATTGTAACTAATTACAGTTTATCTCTCATTTATTTGTATCTTGTTATCATTAAAGGTTAATATAGCAATACAATGACTAGCCAATGCCTTGGCGTCACATGGGGGGGGGTCCCTGCGGGGGGTGCGGAACGCACCGGGTGACACCATCAGAGGGGGTGATTTTAATTTTGCTAGTTGTTTATGTCACTACTATTGCCATCACATTCAGTGACATACGGGAATTACGATTTACGAGTGACATTAGTACACAAAACATTACTATGGATTCTGTATGGTCTGGTACGGGAGGAGGTCCATGAGTTACCGCGCCGTGGGACACCAACCCTAGTCACGCTGCTGCCTGGCATGCCTGCAGCAGCCACACAATAAAGGGTACAGCTTTCAAAATATAGCGTTCAAAGAGTTTAGTCCTGAACCAATAAGACTGGTCAGCAGTGGAACTCTCTGAGACACTTAAGAACTCTTTAAATTGCAAATTTGCAACTTGTTCACACTCTATATTCTTATATACAGGTATCATAGGATGTCCATGACTGTGATTCTTCAACATGAGCTTGCTTTATGTTTCCCTGACCCACTGATTACTCTCAAACTATTTCTATTCTAATGCTTCATTTGTGAAGACCAGAAAGCCACACTAACTGCATACAAGTTAACACAGAACTAAAAAAATAATGTGAGTATAAAATTTACTTACTAATTAACATTTCATCACTAATTAACATTTCATCCATCAATATCATGCACCCTTACACTATCACATTCAGTTAAATATTATAATATAAAAATTCTATACACGTGACACCATTTTGAAAAATTATTTATGGTGCCCCAATATCTTCTATATTCCTATAATTACATTTCTCTGCAACTTTGGACAAATGCGTTGTATATTATAATTTATATCCCTGGTCTTGCTGCTGTTGTTAACATGCATTCTAGTGTGATTTTAGTACATAAATAAACAATACTGGGAGTTATCCATCCCACAGTGACTGCAGTGCCAAGCTTCTTGCAAGCAACCTGCAAACCGATTCGCTGCAATATCAACAAAAACATTTCCGCGGCATCCCTCGTAATCATATCCACCGGCGACGTAATATATCCATCCGAACTAGCGAAAAAATGTTGTATATATAACTGTGTAACATTTTTTAACCTAGCAAAAACACTGCAGCAAAGTTTATAATGTGAGGATTTGCCCCCTAAACATCAGGAACGGCGTTTCGCCAACACCGTCCCTACAAAATTCGATCGAGCGATCCTTGACGCTGTCCACGACTCCCGATCGAGACCCCAGACTCGCGAGGGAGTTGTGAGGCAGGGGTCTCATGCGTGAGGCAGGGGCGAGGCAGGGACGAGGCAGGGTCTCACGCAGCGAAGCAGGGTCTCACGCGGCGAGGCAGGGGTGAGGCAGGGTCTCACGTGGTTAGGCAGGGTCCTACGTGGCGATGCAGGGTCTCACGCGGTTAGGCAGGGTCTCACGCGGCGAGGCAGGGTCTCCCGCGGCGAGGCAGGGGTGAGGCAGGGTCTCACGTGGCGAGGCAGGGGTGAGGCAGGGGCGAGGCAGTCTCACGCGGCGAGGCAGGGTCTCACGCGGCGAGGCAGGGTCTCACGCGGCGAAGCAGGGTCTCACGCGGCGAAGCAGGGTCTCATGCGTGAGGCAGGGACGAGGCAGGGTCTCACGCGGCGAAGCAGGGTCTCACGCGACGAGGCAGGGGTGAGGCAGGGTCTCACG